GTTCAAATCCTTCCATGTCATTATGGCTTTACCACAAAGTGGTGAAGACATATTGTGTTCCCTCATGTTTCTCCTTCTCCTGCCATTTCTTTAAATGGATTCATCTCTGCCATTTTTAGGCCAAATAACATGGAATTTGGCATGAAGGTAGAGTGGGCAAATACCCTGACGCGTTTTTTTCATTTTTTTTCGAAAACTTGTTTTATTTGTTTTTTTTTTTGGCCATTTTCAGGCAAAAAATATACATTTTGAGATCTGGTTCCCAGGTACTAAAACCAAATGACCTGAAATTTGGTATGGGGATACCTTGGACATATGTCTACAAAAAAGGCATTCAAGTTTTTGACATACACCACTTTAAAATTGGAAAAAATAAGGCTTTTTGGCTATTTTCGGACCAAAAATGTACATTTTTGGCTCCTGTGCCCTAATATTAAATCTGAATGACCTGAAATTCGGTATGGGGATACCTTGGACACATGTCCAAAGAATGTCATTCACGATTTTGACATACACCACTTTAAAGTTATGTAGAATAGGGCTTTTTGGCTATTTCCGGCATTGGAAGGTTCCATTGCTGCATGGGGGTGTAGACTATTGGCAGCCATCGTAGGATAGATCCATTTTCGGTATGGGGGATGTGGTGAAGCCATCTGCTGCATTTGCTCTCAAGCAAATGTCGGCCTTTCTAGTTAACCTTGTGTTCTTGGGAACGGCACTTTAAACGACTTTCCTAAGGTGAAAATGAGTATGCCAGAATGATTATTATCATGATCATGGGCATCAAAAGAAAAAGAAAAAGCAAACAAAAAATAGCCAAAATAACAGACATGCTGCCCCTTCAACAGGCGCCATTGGTGGTCAAAACAGTATTTATTGGTTTTGTCTGGGTCTTTTAGCAGGCGACAAGACAGAAATAGTAGGTCTGCTACATTTGAGAATGTTCAATACTTTTATTACACTGTGACCAAATGATCACATTTTACACATGTATACAATATTTTCTCAGCAAAATGAGTTGTAATTACGTACGATCTAATACACGTAGCTTAACATTTATAACTTATCTAATTTTTTTTTTAAATTTTCTTCGGTTGATATAAGCCAGAGCTATTATCATTATCATCATACTTAAAAATATTTACATTTTAGATAACTATAAATTACAGATGTATGGCTGTTCAAGTCATTAAGCAATGTCAAGCTTTGACAGAAAATGGCTATGTTCTTTTTTACGTATAGATTTGGAAATGTCATTGTATGTTTTTTTTTACACGTTATCAATTAATGGCTCTAGACTGGTGCTGACTGCTGATGCAAGGACGGCGATCCGTAGCACTTAGCCCCTTTTATACAAATTGTGTGTAGTGACAAGGAGGTAAAAGTACTGCATGTTTTCGTGCTAAAAGCAAACGGAGAAGGTGACACACACGTTAACCCTCACCTTGACCATCAGCTAAAGAATCTTGGGAAAACAACGAATTGGTTGTAAGGGGATACGTGTTTGACGAATGTTAAGTTTTGGAATGTGTCTGCACGTTTTCTGAAGGCCGGTTGCTCTGAATGTAGTGACACAGTCTGCATTTGCTACTAGTACCTTTAATTTCCGTCATTTTTATACAGAGTGGCCCATTAAGTGATTTCACTTCTTTTCAATGGGGCCCAGTTTTACACAACAAAAACAACAAGTCACATACAAACAGTAAAATTAGGACACAGTTAATAATGATAATGGCAATGATAATCATTCACTGCCATTAACCTTTAACGGTTAATCTTCAACATGGCACGGAACGTAGACATAGCGTTTCTATATCGATTAAGCTTAAAGCGATAAAGCAGCTGCCCTCTTCGGTTCAAAGCAAATCTTTGTCAGCATAAGATATCTTTATCCGGCATACCTTAAGCGAAGGCATTCGAAACATCACACTCAGATTTACCTTGCCGGTGGAATCGGCTCGGGTATCGTCTTTAGCTGACGTCACGTCAGAAGACGTCTTACAGTTTTTGTCCTTGAAAGCGTCAAGGTCATCGCTGACTTGCGTCATCAACGTCTCAAGGATCTTCTTCATCTCCGCGTCCGCCATTCTGCCTTCTTGGAGGGTTTCCTCGATGAGAGAAGCTCCGCCTCCTTGCGACTCTTTCTGGTACTGCAGCGTGGCAGGTGCCAGTGGATCTGGGAAGGCGAGTTTAGCAATGGTAGTGCACAGTTCGCGGAGTCGGTCAAGCTCATAAGACAGCTGAAAGTTCTGCACAGTCCATTCGATCTCTCTTACTTCAAGCTCGTCTTGAAGTTTCAAGTTTTCTGCAAAGAGGTGGACTAAGTCTAAGTGTTCGCACGGGTAGACCTCCACGGGAGGTGTTAGGAAGGAATGCTCGGGGCTTTCGGCGTCCTCTTGGGCGGAATTTGCGGAGGAAATTGTTTCTAAATGTTGGGATTCCAGCTCGGAGCCACCCACGCTTTGGGAAGTGTCAGCTGCTGCTTGATCGGTTTGATCTTCCGACTCTATGGCAATGATGTCGCTTCCTTCGCTAACACTAGTATAATTCTGAACGGCAATGAAACAGCTTTTACCAGATTCCTTACGATTGTGGCAAACGCAGCCTTTTGTATCATCTGGAAATACTTTGTTCTCATTTTGGAGGGTGAGGGCTTCAGAGGCATCGCTGCATTCAATAATTCCACGCGAGTTTTCCTCGGCTTCGGTTTCAGGATCTTCAGTCGGCGCCATTAGTTTGGAATTCTCAACACATTCCTGGAAAATCGCAGATTCCAGGAACGGACTTTTGTCTCTGTCGGCACCCGGCTGGACCAAACAAGCAGCAACCTCCTCAATACCCTGCACAAGGCTTTGCAGGGACGAAAATGTCTGGTTATATGTTTGAAGTAAATTCGGGGCTTCTTCTGTACTGTTTTCATGAGTTTCTGATGGTCTGGGGGTAGCGTTGATGTCGGTAACGTTGCCGCTGATTCTGTCCAGGAATGGTTCTATGCTGGCTATGTGTTGTCGCAAGCTGGATGTGTTTGTGGATATCGTTGCGCAATGATCGGAGAGAGACTGAAGTAATGTATGAATTTCTCCCTGGCGGTCTTGTATCTGTAAAACACGGAGAAGATAAAACGTACACGGTTAATTTTCTTTATAATGACGATAGCAACTTTTGAGATTGCAAATGTTTTAATTAGATGTAGACCACGGACAACGGCTATATTTTAGTAAAAGCTCTAAGAAGACTTTTTTGGCTATGATACCAAAGTGTGTGCTCACCAAAGTAAAAACCACCAACTTTAATTGCAACCATCATTATTACCTCATTGTTCGCTTCCTAGGTTTCTCCAAAAAGCACCCCAAAAACTATAACAGGAAGTCTTGACTCTGATACCAGAGTGTATTGTTTAAAAAGTGAAACTGGCAAATTTATTTTCAACAATTATTTTGTGACTTTTTACCTCACTGTTTGGCTCCTGAGTTTCTTCACAAAGCAGTCCGTAGTCGGCACACACTTTGTGCAGACATTCACAGTCACGCTGCAGTTCATCAACTAGGCGCACGGTGGCGTTCCAATCTGGCGACTCTTCTGGCAGACCGCCATTTTCATCTTTGAGGTCCGAAGTTTCTGCTGAGCAGTCCAGTAGCAATTTTCTCGTGTCTTCAATCTGCAACTGGGAAAAATATAAACATTGCAACATCATTTATTAACAGTAGATATAGATAATAATAAATATATGCACTATAACATAAATAAAACAGTCATCAAGGTCAGTGCATGCTGGTGTCGATATTCTGAACATATCAAAATCACATTTCTTGCAGTCACCTAAAATGAATGAAGAAAAAAACAAACATGACAAGAACCAAAATAAATATATCTTTTCAGTGCTAAGCTTACCTTAGCCAGTCTGTCTTGCAACATTTCTAGTTTTCCACCAATAAAAGGCACTTGCTTCAAGTCGGCATCAAGGACGACATTCAGTTCCCATGGTGACGAGGTCATCCCTGATGACGTCATATTCCGACAAGAACGTCCGCCATCTTGTTCTAATATCCCAGCATCCCCGTTTGTTGTAGAGTTAAAGTCTTCAGAAGGGTCAAGGTTCATCTAAAAGGTGTGATACAAGTAAAAAGGAACAAAACAAGAACAGAGACTCAAATGAAATATAGATAATACGAAGAAAAAGAAAGGTAAAAATATATTCTCGTAAATATGGTAACATGAAATTTACTATAACAAAAACAAGACGGATATAAAACAAATAATCACAATCGTAGAGAGATTTATGTAAGAAAAAGAGTAAAGAAGTAATAAAACTATCAACAAAACAACAAGCAGGGGAATGAACTGGGAAGAAGAAAGAAAATCATCATCAATGTTTCTAACTTCTAACTCCAAAAAACAACGACTTCGCAATTCGCCTCAAATGAGAAAATTGATAGAGCATACATATAGTGTTTGCTGTGCATTTTACGCATGTTGCTTACTGTGCTTTGTACACTAAGGACATACATGGGACTTAGACTCTGCTGAGCTTGTTGCTGAGTTTGAGGTAGCCCAGGGTCGGGGTTGGACCTGGGAATGCAGCAGGTTAGGCCACTTAGACTCGATTTCATGGAAGTTACTGGTTCAAAATATTCAATAAAGACAGATAATAGAAATGATTAATAATAGAAATGCTAAATAGCATCCTTATGGCATATGTGATTCATGTTGTCAAGTTCGGCAATTCAAAGGTAAAGCTTTAATAAAAAAAATTGTGCTCCCATTAAAGTGAATCATACAATGTGTGGTGGGATCAACAAAGGGTAAAGACTAAACATTTTGCTTGGAGACACCTACAATATTATCAGCTTGGAGTTGTAACCAATGAGGAAATTGTTCTGTTTAGAATTTTATTTGGCCATAATGTACATGGTTGTCATCAATGAAATCGAGTTTTGGCGGCATGTGTGTGATATGTGTAGGGGTAGCCAGATAGAGACATGTAGTACCATTAGAACTCGCTAGGTGTGCGATCCACGTCTGCTCTGCAAAGATCAGATTGAGGTCAGAGGTTAGTGTAGAGGTCAGAGGTCAGTAGGAGGACGAAAGCTCATTGGCTAACCAGAACAGACCGAAGAACGTTTGCTTGTACCATGGAGGTAAAATTTACCTCCATGCTAGTACTATCACCAAGGACATTATATAATGCCCTTACTACCACACATTTGTATCAAGCTTTGCATTACCTAAGTGTGTTCTGGACTGGGCCCAGATGTAGAGGTATTGCTCATCACGTGATGTGACGTACAAACTCACACGAGATTAAACGAGATTTTGTGTATCTAAAAGCTGCTACTTCCGCAGGTGGTCGTACAGAAACGCTAGGGTAATGCCAAGCTTGAAATATGACCAATGGAAAATTATAAAAACATCCACAGACGACAAACTACTGTTAAAAGACTTAGTACAAGTACATTTTGACAAAGATTGTTATTATTTTTTTTAGAATTCAGTTGAACAAAGTATAATACAGCTATGGGTAAACATGTATGTTTACGGACATTGAAAACACAAGATGAAGATGTTGAAATACAAGGAAGTACCAAAAGTTCAGAAAATTCTGTTCTTGTTCTTCTTACTTTGCTCTTGTCCTGCGCCATCATGTCCTTTAGGGATCTGCTTCTAGTGGAGCCCGGGGACTTCTGGGTATCTTTGGAAGACTTGCTCTTTTTCTTCTCGTCGCTAGGCGGCGCTGTGAGACCGCTGGTGTCACGGGCAGGCTGTTTCCGCCACCTGACCTCGTCTCCCTCCTTCTTCAGTCCCGCTTCTGTCTTGAGGATTCTCAGTTCCTCCGCCATGACAGTTAGCTCCTTCTCTTGCCGCTTGCAGACTTCATCTTTACGGTCTAGACAGCTTTGGAGGTACTCTGAAAGTAGGAGAAGCAAATTCAAGGAACAGAATAAGTTTGCCTTTGTTCAAAGAGAAGTTCCACACAAACACACACACAAACACACACACACACAAACACACACACAAACCTAAGTGTGTCTGTAGTTCCTCGATGTTCTGCTCCAGCAGGCACATCTCCTCCAGACGCTGGAACTCGCTGATCTGCTTTTCCATGTCCTTCTCCATCCGAGCGGCCGCCATGTCATGCTCGTTATCCTCGCAGATTCTCGCGAGATCCTCGTTCCTCCCCTCCATGTCCGCGAGTTTGTTCCGCAGAAAGGTGACCTCCTCTTCGAGTTGTTTCTTGTTGATGTCCTCTTTGCTGCCCGAGTCGGGCGTCTTCGCGCTCTTTGCACACTTTATTTCTAATTCGTATTTCTGAATCGTTGAAACTAAGATTCTGTTATCGTATTCCATTGCAGCAAGTTTCTGTTTTAGTATAGAATTGTCCTCTTCGAGAAGTCTCAGCCTCGCTTTCAGGTCCTGGCCGCCATCTTTGCCTCGGGGTCGAAGGTTACCTGCCTTTTTCTCGGCCTGATATCGCGAGACTTGGGCAGTGAGATTTTGGTTCTGCTCCTCCAGATCTGACACAGTCCTGCGCAAGACATCAGCCTCCTCTTCTAAAAACTGTAGCTGTCTCCGAAGTTCTTCCACGTTTTCCGGCATGTCGCTTTCCGGGTAGCTTGCTTCCGATTCGCTACTGGAGGCAGACATGTTTTTACACCTACCGCGGTACTTTTGTAGCTCCGCCCCTAGCTTCTCATTTTTCACTTCCATTTCTATTAATTTTCTACCTAGCGTTGTAGCTTCTTCCTCTACTAGTTTGAGCTTTAGTTTCAGCTGTGCCTCTTTGCTAATGTTGCTAGACTCGGACTGTTCGGCTTGTTCGCTTTCGCTTGATTCAAACTCGCCGTATTTTCTTTTGTATTGTTCTAATTGGAACTGTAGACCGTCCCTGTCCTTCTCGACTTCGACGAGAGACTGTCGCATGAGGTTGGTTTCTTCCTCTACTAGCTCGAGTTGCCGGCGGACGTCGGATTGCGCCTCGGCGCTGGTGGCCTGGCTGGCCGCCGAGGGGGCCTCCTCCGAGTCGGAACCTTTACTGTGGTTCTTCGCCTTCTGAATCTGAGGAAGAAAAGAAGATAAATGTGTAACAGTTTGTTTTTAGTGCAAGCTAAGCGTTTGGAATATCTATGATACATGTAATTGTAATATTCGCATTCACTGTGGCTCTTTACCTTCTGAATCTGATTGAAAAAAGAGACAAACATGAAATAATTTACCTTAATCAATTTCAACGTTTCCAAGAACACATTTTTTGTGCAAGCTAGTCATAGGCTTCTTGAATACATGTGTCTTAATGTACCTATCAGTTCAGTTCAGTTCAGGTCATCCTCTATGTACCTATATCATGTAGATTAATGGCACCACCAATAATGATATTAATGGTATTAAATTTGATTATAGTTATTATTCACAAAGGCCGGGCCTATATACCTTTACATTGCAATCATTCTTATGGTAATCATACTTAATGTATCTTGTAAGTTTTAACGACTTAGATTTGTAACAATTACGAAATCCACTGAATTATTTGAAGAAGGTATGTCTATCGTAAGGTGTTTGGAATATTATACACGAATTGCATACATTGCATATCAATCAATAGTTTGTGCTTATAAACCTGCATTTTTCCTCTGGTCTCTCAGTCACTGACGAAAGCTAGTGGATACTAGCTGAAACGTCTGACGTTTCCAAAATCATATCCAGTTGCTTGAGGAACTGCTTTTTGGCGTATCTTATTACCTGGATGTCTAGCCTTCATCGACGAATTGCATACATGTTTTGCATAAACGTTTGTAATGAAGTTACAACCCTGCAGTAACCTATTCTTCATGTAAATTATAGTAAATTGCCTTGGACGAATTCGATTACGTTTCCAGCTAAATGAATTATAACCGGCTTATTGTTAGGTGACTCGGACCTCGGCTACATGACTCTACTTTGGACGGCCCAAATATGGGCACATCTGCGAAGGCCACGGTCAAAGGAGCTTTACTGGTCTTCTGGAAAGACCAGCTAAGACCAATCCACTTGAAATAATGATTCATTCATTTACTTACTCATTTAAAGATACAACTTTTGTCATAGAAACTACATGAGAATCTATCCGTTAATGCAAAACAAAACATATAATTAAATAAGTAAATCAATGATATATTCTATGGTAGCTTAAATAATAACCTTATTGCACTACCATTCCGAAGCCAGGGCGAATTCGAAACATATATTGTAGAAAAAAAAACTGGTTCGAAATGTGGTCATAGATTACGGATTATACATAACTATACCTTGCCTATTTGTTCACCTAAAGGGCTTGACAAATACAAGAGAAGAAAAAATATACTACCAAGTGTCTCAATGATAAGACGTAAGAATTTTCTCTAAATGTTTCAAGCAAGCGAAAGCAACAGTGAAACTCTCTTACGTCCAGTACATACACTCAACATCCAAGGGCTAATTAGGAATATGTGTTTGAGCAATAGAATAGTATGCAATGTTGTTATTCATAAGAGAAGAAATAATAATAGTAGGGAAGACGTTGCTCTACCTGTTTCCTAAGTTTCTCGACCTCTCCCTTGAGGGCCTGTCGAGATGTTTCAGACTTGACGAGTTTGTGTCTAAGATGCTGATTCTGTTCCTCCACTCTGGACCGCTTCTCCTCTACCTGCTCCAACTCGTGATGCAGGCGGACTGAAACATCCTTAGCAACCTGGGGGAGAAACAGTGATATTCACTATATACACTAGTATATACACTCTGTATCTGTATGGTTGGTATATTCATGCAGCCGGACGTAAACATCTTTCGCCACTTGTGGGAGCAATTATAGGAGCATATATAATATGCTTAATGTGTGGCCTCGATCATTAGACGACATAATAACTGTATTGGGCCCTATTTTTGCTGGCAAAGGTAACAGGAACATAGCTTATTTGGAAAGAGTGAGTATTTAGTACCGTGTGGCCCCCAACGATGATTTAATCTTTTATCAACCCCAGTCCGGGTGAGGTGTTCAAAAATTTAAAGCACGATAAGCGCATCCTCACTAGAATTTAAGGTGGTCCCATACACCTTGGTGCAAGAAATCAAACCCGTCAGAATATGTCAGAAAAAATTATTGCATCGGCCGGGAATCGAACCCGGGCCTCCCGCGTGGCAGGCGAGAATTCTACCACTGAACCACCGATGCTTGTGCCAATCAGGCTGACAACAGCCATTGTGTATCAGATCTGTAACTCATGGGATTTTTTCTCTGTGCAACATGATATGCTGAAATACTTACGTCTCTTAATGTATGAGCTCACATAATTTGATCTTTGAATAGAAATATTTTACGGCAACAGCATTCAGTGCTTTGCTGACTGTACAAGTATAATTCTTTGCTGCTTCTCTGACTTGACTTGTCTGATCTAAAACCCATGGGATTTTTTCTCTGTGCAACACAGTAATACACCCACATACTTGTGTGTTAATGTTGTATAAGTTCACATTGTGCCTTTTGATCTTTGACAAGAAAGATCAAAAAGATGTTTTACGCAACAGAATTCAGTACTTTGAGCGACATCACCTAAGGCTGATGTGTTGCGATGTTTCCCGGTTGAACACACAAGTTATTACTTTGCGAGCCAGAGATAGATCAAGAACCATTTTCGTTGCCTCCAGAGACGAGTCCAATGTTCTATTAAAGCCTTTTATCGATCGAGGAGGCAATCTCCATGTGTGAACTTCGCCATTCATATATACGTCAAGGGGCTGGTTTATATGTGTGAGGAAAATTACAATTCATGTATCTGTCTATTCTTTCTTAGTAACTGACACGTTGATAATGAAATAATTCTTTAGAAAAAAATTGCATTGCCGAATGGAACAAGATTACGCCACAAAGTCTAAATAGCAAATGGTAGTTTTCACAATTTTTCTCCATGTTAAAATCTTTATTTTAAAAGGAGAATTACATCACCTGAAATTAATTAATGCCTGGAATAATTATTTAGGAACAATTTTGTTATGCTGTTTTATCTGGCATTTAGAATTCAAACCTAAGATTAGCAAACAGATACAAGATAATTTGGTTTCTCTACTGGCTGTTGATGGCTGATAAGTGACACGCCTGTAGGATTATAAAATGCTGCACCGTAGGTAGCCTTTTCTTTGATTTATCAGCAAGAACTATTGGTGAGGAAAAAATACCAAGTGAATTAACCCACAAAATCTAATCTAAAAATATTCCATGTTTAAAATCCGCAGTGTCTTCAATGTAAAATTTAAAACTAAATAAATTATGTCTAAGAAGGATTGTCTAAGACAATTTTGCAAGTTTACATCAAGGCAACCCTAATGATTTTAACATCCCTGTTCAGATTTGGAATTTAGAATTTAAACCTGCAATTGGCAAACAGATACTAGATGTATAGGTATCTTTTACTGACTTTTGACGGATGATACCTTCAGAATTATAAAAAGCTTCACCGCAGGTAGCCTTTTCTGTGATTTATCAGCAAGCACCAGGCTCGCCTAGGGGCAAACACAAACCGACATGGGGCCGCCTCAGGCCGCCATGATGGATCGCAGGTCATCATGGGAGATCTGCCTATGACGTCAGAGCGCTGCAGACGGTAAAGCCTGACTGGTGATAAGGGAAAATAAGACCCAACCGGATTCTGCGGCAGTGTTCAGCCGGGCTTGGAAAGAAATGACAGCTTTATCAATATTAACCGGGATAGTCACAGTGATCCTTTTTCGTGTACTAAAAGCTAAGGCATCTTTACGATAATCTTTGTCATGGTAGATTGAACTCTAGCTATATATAATAAGAACATAAACTTCAGTACTAATTGTTACTGATGGCTTTGATAGCTATGCCTCCTATTGTGATATATTTGGAACCCTTGAAAATACACTGTGTTCTCTTAGGAGCTGGATTGTGAGGTTTGTATAACAGGATGCACTAGTGATGGATGGAAATAACCTTGGTATCAGTTTTAGCATTACTTTTATTTGTGTCTGGGCTAGACTTTATTCTTGATCTTGAGATCAAGAAAACTGTTGTATTTTTCAGCATTTTGTTGTTATTTTCATTTTGGTTGCGAGTATGATAAATGACCTTGTTCTGACCTTGAGATCCTGTTCGATCTCCCTCACGCGGCTGTAGTTCCCCCGGTCCGCCTCGACCTGCTCGTTTCTCTTCTCCGCCTTGCGCAGGCGCAGCTGCAGGATGCGGCAGTTCCTGGATGTTTGTTCGAGCTCTCGCTGCAGCTGCCGGAACTGCTCAAATTCCTCTTCCCGAAACGAGTCCTGGGAATATAACATAAATTATGTTAATATTATGTTAATAAGGAGCCACCCGTTCCTGGAATTTTGACCGAGTATACATTTGAAATCTTTTTCCGAGAACAACTCCTGTTGATGTAAAATAATCAATGGGGATTTATTATTTCTGACAAGTTTGTCTGATCTCCCACTCAAAACCTCTTCCAGGAACGAGTCCTGGAAATGTGACATAAATTATGTTCATGAGGAACCACCAGTTCCTGGAAGTTTGTTCGAGTCCTGGAAATGTGAAATAAATTATGTTAATGAGGAACCACCGGTTCCTGGAAGTTTGTTCGAGTCCTGGAAATGTGGCATAAATTATGTTAATGTGTAACCACCAGTTCCTTGAAGTTTGTTCGAGCTCCCGCTGGAACTCCTTTTCCCGGAACGAGTCCTGGGAATGTGACATAAATATGTTAATGAGGAGCCACCAGTTCCTGGAAAATCGTTCGAGTTTCTAAGGAAGCTCTCGGAATGTCCAGCGAGTGACGTTTGTCCCACGATATTTCAGATATTTTTTTTTAGATAATAAACTATACACAAAGAATGTAATTTTCCAAATCATGAAGTCAATCTCTTTGTCATATTAGGTGATATTGACTTTACTATAGTGTGTATGGAAAAACGTGATCTCATTACTAAAGGCAGACAGACATGGCATCACGATGATACAGATCTATTAGAAACCTTTAGGGACATGACATCGGCTACATGCTTTTAGCTTAAGTACTTTTGCGGGATCAGGTCACGTGATCGTGATGGAGTAGCCCGGTAATTCCTCTTAGCTGCTGCAGGGTGAAAGGTCACGGGACGCAAAATCGATAAATGTCGTAAAACCGGAATATTTACGACATGCGGCAGGACCCCCGGGGTTCTAAGCAAACACAGCATCTGTGGTATCGATCTGATATTCCAAAGAAGTAGCGACATATTTTCCCCGAAACTACAAGGAAGCTTTAAGGCTTTGATTTTTTGTCGTCTATTTTTGTGTGTGTTTTATTGGAGTTTCGTCTGGGTTATAGTATTTTGACAGCCTTTGGTGTCATATTGGATACTCCCCTGCAAACGATGCTGTCTTGCATGTTCAGTTTTGCTTTCAAAAGTTGTTTCCACAAGGAGATCTCCCTTCCTGTTGATGCAAATATCTTGATGTCTTGCTAATGCAAAATTGATTTCTTTTTACAATAATTTCGAAATCGAAGATGAAGTCACGAAATCAAATATTTGTGGCTTTACAAATACTGGCAGCTGCTTCGCACAAGCACTTATTCTGGATAATGTAAAAGGAAATGCCCTTCGCCGGGGAATTGTTGCAGATTCTGTTTTTCTTCATTGTTGTTGCAAATGACATAATATCTTGCTTATGCAACATTTCCTTTTACAATTGAGAATTCAAAGAGGAAGTCACAAACTGAATGGCTTAACAAATACTGACAGCTGCAACTTGCAAACACTTATTCTGGATAATGCAGACGGAAATGCCTTTCACAGGGGAATTGTTGCAGCTCCTGTTTTTCCTTCCGGCACTGACGCCAGTGACTCATGTCTGATGTCCTCTATTCCCAGTCGTCTAGCGCCCTTTTTATCTGTCTGAACTGATTTCAATCAAACTGATCTTTCTAGGCACATGAGTACATGATTGCTTAAAAGGTACATGTACTAGGCACATAGGTATGCAAGAGGTTTTAAATGTGAATCTTTCAAAACAGATCAATCGGTCAGAAATCATTCAGTGCTTCAAGATTAAACAGATAGATAAGCACATCAATACGCTTAAAAGATTTAAGTTGTATGATTTGAAGACTAAATGCAGCTGTGGCTCCTTATAAACATGAACATGCCTGTCCATAAAGGGATCACAGATTACCCGTTTGCCTTCTAACATAGACGTAAATCCTCTATTCTTTTTAATCCCCAGTCGTGCCCACTCCATTTCATTTGGCCAAAGCGGCTTCAATCAACCTAATATACCCTGACAGCAGCTGGACATGTCCGGCTATGGCCGCTAATGGACAGTGGTGTAATTGTTCCGCAGGGATCACCAAAACAGCTCCATTCTGTCGAAATGTTTTTTTATCGAGTGTATTTTGAATTTAAACCATTCCAGGCAGTTCAATTAGATCATTTTCTTTATACGTCGATGAAGGTTAGACATCCAGGTAATACGAAGTTACTCAAGCAACTGGATATGATTTTGGAAACGGTCAGACGTCACTGAGTAACTTCCTTTTTGCATTTTCTTTATGTTTGAAAATTTCTTTTGACTATCTTGTGTAGGTATATCTGCTTGTCGTAATAGTCACGAGTCTAACCATGGAATTAATAGAATCATTTATCCTTATCGATCAGCCAACATCTGACAGCAAAGTGACAAACTTTAAAGTAGATAGAAAATTAAAAGGCAAAGAGATTTTAAATTATCTATCTAATATCGTATATCACATTGATATCGTTGTGCATGCAGGGATGTCTCTTGCTTGCAAATGGATTAATAAAATCCTATTCACTTAATGCCAAATATACACTGAATATCATCCATGTTAATCCATGTAAATACTAATTACGTGTAGCAGGTGGAAGAGACAGAAGAAAAATAAACACATCAAGAATTTATTGACTTTATCGTACATTCTATGCCACACTTCACATTAATATTATCGCTTATCATGCTTGCATATAGATAAATAGATTTAATGTAGACCGGCCATAGTCTCTATAGCATCTGTTATGTACTTCGGGCTTTTCGCAAGGCGAATCTCATCCATGTTAATCTTTGTAAATACTAATTATGTGTGGCAGGTGGGATGGAAGGACATTATAGTAGTCTAGGACAGAAGGAAAATAAACACATCATAAATTTTCGTATATTTTTGTATATACCATGTCGAACACCACGCAAACATACTCTTATCAACTTAGAGGTCTTTCTTACTTCCATGTACATTTTTTGGGGGATCATATGTGCTTCAGGCTTTTCTTCATAAAGCGAATCTCATCCATGTTAATGTATGTAAATACTGACTACGGGTAGCAGGTGGTCTGAATTTCTCCAGGGGGTGATGTGTATTTATGGTTCTGTTGGCCCCTGGCATTGGGTTGAATACCATGGGTTGAATATCTGGGCTGACCTCATTTCACAGAAAGACGCCAATTTACATGTGCATTTTGCTGCACGCCCTTTTTCCCGTTCACATATGTCACTTAGTACATGTACTTATGATCGTCGTACAACCGCAAACAGAAGGCAATCTTTGGGCAGTATTTGATAGCTGTACACAATGTAGCTGTATTTTTGTTGTAATAATATAATCATATCAATGTATAAGCTGTCTGAATAAGATGACCAATCTATTGTTGTTTAATTGTGAAAAAAAGATACTAATGGTAACTAGGTATTTGTTATATCCCCAACCCTGTGTTATATCCCCAACCCCTGCATTACTGTAAACGATGTAAGCAAAACTTCAAGAAAATTTTAAACACAGTAACAGAAATAATACATGCGTAACATTCTTATCTTTCTCCAGCACTCTCTACAATATAGGTACTCTCCTTGGTGCTGAATAACGATCCCATCACCGTCGAACCGTGGTCTACAATTCACCTGAGTTATAGACCACACGGGCTATTCACTTTTTCTGCTGATTTTGATTTATTCAACGTATTAAATTTCTTTGGAAATGACACAGTTGAATAATGTTAGCAACTGGAGCGCTCAATGATGGGTGCAATGACATACAGAGCGGCTGGATGGAAACTATACATGCCGAAGTTTATTCATTTCTTGTTTCTACCTTGAACCGTTTGTATTTCTCTCATAAACAGTGCACAGCTTCCTGCCCGTATCTAACTAGTAAGAATTCCATGCCTAATTCAAAGGCCATCTTTATGATATTAACACATACTGCTTCACATTAGCAGATTTCAATCAGTATTTCATACTTGGTGTATTTAAAACTACAGAAATAAGCCCCAAGATTAGTCCTTTATTTTATGGGTGCATGGTACCCTAACAAGAAGCCCAGGGTCCTTCCAGTAACCGTTTTCTATCAGAATGTTGGTAATTTGTGGTCCAAAAGGGTCAATATACATTGAGATAGTGTGGTTTGAACTTACAAGCGCTAAAACTGCATTGGATGCTTTAACTGGACGACCCACATTTCGGACAAACGTTAAAACAACCAGAGCACGACTTCCTGTAACATTGATTATACGGGGAAGGTCAAACTGATTAGAATGATGAAAAGCCCGTGGACTAACAAAGCGACTCCGAGACAGACACTACTGATAATGCTACTCGGACTCCGACATATCACAATCCACGTGTCTACAATTGTAAATCTACCTACAAGTTGGCGCCCATTTCTGATAGCAGCTAGAGTAATCAGAGGGCGAATTCCCGTAACATTAATTTCCAGGAAGTTCAAACTGATTAGAATGATGACAATCCTAGGCCTGACAAATGCTATTGATAATACTACTCAAACTAACATATTGAAATCTACAATTGTAAATCTACCTACAAGACGACGGACGTTTCTGATAGCAGCTACAGTAATCAGAGCGCGAATTCCCGGAACATTGATTTCCGGGAAGGTCAGACTGATTGAAATCATTAAAACTCTTGGTCTTGCACTAAGACCCCCTGTAGTTATAATGATTATTCGATGGCAAGCTATTAATCTACAAGATGATGTAGTTTTCTTGCTGTTTGATTCTTAATTCTTCAGCAGAACAGATTCCATTGATTTCCGGGAAGGTCAGACTGAGTGGGAACATAAAGCTCTTCGTCTGGCAAACTAGTTACAATCACAATTCGATGTCAATATATTTTTCTACAAGAGAACTGAAACGGATACTACGAGACCCCTCCCACATCTGCAATGTTTTATTCCACCTAGAGAGAACCCAGAGTACAATCAATCAATATAAACTCCTATTGAGTAGATCTGACCAGCACAAAAACTATTTCATTTTGAGAG